CGCTTCTGCCTCACTCTCCTTCGCTCTCCGCTCTCCTTCACCCTTCTGCATTCATACTCACTCATACTCAGGCTCAGTCACACGCAGGCGCACTCGCACTTAGACTCGCTCGTATCCATACTTAAACTTACTCACACTCAGACTCACGCTCAGAACCACTGATACTCAGACTCGCTCCTGCTCAGACTCATCATCCTTCGGTCCGCTCAAACGCAGACCGACTCACACTCAGACCGCCTCGCATCCATACTCAATCACACTCGGCTCACTCGCACTCAGATTCATTAGCACACTTTTCCTCACACTCAGACCCACTCAAGCCCAGACTCACCCATGCTCAGACTCATCATGCTACGATCCGCTCAATCACAGACTGGCTCACACTCAGGTTCGTCCATACTCATACCCACTCGCACACAGACGCACTCGCGCTCATATTTACTCACACGCATACCCAATCAAACCCAGGCTCAATCGCACCCAGATTAACTCACACTCAGAATCAGTCGCTCCCAGATTTGCTATTGGTCGCACTCATGCTTGCAGACTGTGGGAATGTCTCAAGCGAGCGGTTCGCCCTCGCACACAGGCCCTCATTGACAGATATCAATAGAAATTCGTACCCAGAGAATGAGATGCACATATGGGGAGCCCCGCGTCGAGTAATTACTTGGACGCCTCCTACTCCTCCTCCTCCTCCTTCCTCCTCCTCTTTTCTCCTCCCCTCCTGCCGGACATACCCAGACTTGCTCATACACAGACTTACTCATACTCAGACTTACTCATACTCAGACCTACTCATACTCAGACTTACTCACACTCAGACATACTCATATACAGACTTACTCATACACAGACTTACTCATACACAGTATTAGTCATACCCAGACGTACACATACACAGACTTACTCATACACAGACTTACTCATACTCAGCACCCCTAAGGGGAGCCGCCAGGGGTGGTTGCACGGGCTCGTTCGCGGCCATTTTGTGGGGATGTCTCAGGCGGTTTGCCTGTTTCTGTGCCCAACATCCTTCGCTTTCGGAGCAGATTTGGAGGATGTCTCGAGCGAGGCGCTCATTTCAGCACCCCTAAGGGGAGCCGCCAGGGGTGGTTGCACGGGCTCGTTCGCGGCCATTTTGTGGGGATGTCTCAGGCGGTTTGCTTGTTTCTGTGCCCAACATCCTTCGCTTTCGGAGCAGATTTGGAGGATGTCTCGAGCGAGGCGCTCATTTCAGCACCCCTAAGGGGAGCCGCCAGGGGTGGTTGCACGGGCTCGTTCGCTGCCTTTTTGTGGGGATGTTTCAGGCGGTTTGCCTGTTTCTGTGCCCAACATCCTTCGCTTTCGTAGCAGATTTGGAGGATGTCTCGAGCGAGGCGCTCATTTCAGCACACCTAAGGGGAGCCGCCAGGGGTGGTTGCACGGGCTCGTTCGCGGCCATTTTGTGGGGATGTCTCAGGCGGTTTGCCTGTTTCTGTGCCCAACATCCTTCGCTTTCGGAGCAGATTTGGAGGATGTCTCGAGCGAGGCGCTCATTTCAGCACCCCTAAGGGGAGCCGCCAGGGGTGGTTGCACGGGCTCGTTCGCGGCCATTTTGTGGGGATGTCTCAGGCGGTTTGCCTGTTTCTGTGCCCAACATCCTTCGCTTTCGGAGCAGATTTGGAGGATGTCTCGAGCGAGGCGCTCATTTTCACCCCCCAGGTGGGCCAGATTTTGAGGATGTCTCGATCGGTTTGCTAGTTTTGGTGGCCAGGCTCGTGGGCGCAGATTCTTTTCAGGATGCCACAGGAGGCTCCAACAGGCTCCAGGAGGCTCCAGGAGACCACATGAGGTCCCAGGAGGCATCAGGAGGCCACAGGATGTCCCAAGATGCTCCAGGAGGCCCCAGGAAGCTCCAGAAGGCTTCAGGAAACCACAGGAGACCCCAGGAGACAACAGGAAGCGCCAGGAGGTCTCGGAAGGCAACAGGAGGCCCCGAGAGGCCCCAGGAGCAGGAGGCCTCAGATGGCAACAGGAGTGGCTCCAATCCCATGTGTTTTACGTATGCTCCTATCGATTGGGCCTCACCTGGAGCACGATTCTTTGATGTTCTACGTATGTTTCTATAGATGGTCCTTCTCCTGTGTACACAATCCTAAATGTTTTACTCATGTTCCTATGTATTGGGCCTCTCCTGGGGCACGAGTCCTTGGTGTTTTACGCGTGTTCCTATAGATTGCCCTTCTCCTGTGGCTCTAATCCGCAATGTTTTATGTACGTCTGTTGCTATAGATTGCGCCTCCCCTGGGGCACGAAACCTTCCTAGGAGGTCCCAGGAGGTCCCAAGAGGCTCCTGGAGACCCCAGGAAGCCCCAGTAGGTTTCAGGAGGCCCCAGGAGGCCCCAGGCTCATGCACAGAGACGCGCTCGTACTACTGAGGCTCATTCACACTCCAATTCATTCGCAGTTAGATTGACGTCCAGACCGTCACAACTGAAGCCCATTAATATTCGAAAGTTCTTGCGCCTAGACATTCACGGCGGACAGGTCCATGCGAGTAGATGCACATATGGGGAGCTCCACGCAGTGAATAATTTTCCATTGTTTATTTTTACACCCTTTGCGTTTCCCGCCGTTTCGGCGGTCCGATGCACCAAGAGGCCCCAGAAAGTCCCAGGAGGGTCCGAGGAAACGCCCAGGAAGGCCCCAAGACGGGCCAAGACGGACCCAGCACAACCCAAGGCGCGCTGCGACGGCTCAAGACGGCTCCAAGACAGCCCCAAGAGGGTGCCAACACGGCCCCTGCTGGGCCCAGGACGGCCCAAGGAGGCGCACAGGAGGGGCCCAAGACGACTCCAAGGCGGCCCCCTCACGGTCCCAGACGGCTCCAAGACAGCCCCACGAGGACCCCGATGGGCCCAGGACGGCCTACGGACGCGCCCATGAGGGGCCCACGACGAACCAAGACGGCCCCATCACGGCAAACGGCGCCCTCAAGACGGGCCTGGACGGCTCCAAGACGGCCCTTTGAGGGAGCCAACGCGGCCCCACACCCTTCGGGCGCACACTTGGGGGGGCTGGGAGCTTGCGACAAGTCTCCCACATTCATTGTCCTGCCCCATTCTGTTCGCCTGGAGGCCTCCTCCAACCCTGTGGGCGAACAAGAGGAAACCCAGCGGGCCGCCAACCCTGGGGCCCGTGGGCCCCGCGCCGCTTGGGCAGAAGACGAACGCCGGGTCTGACAGGCCAGCTACCGCCCCCCTTTGCCCGATATGCTGTGCCATTTTGTTCCCCCAGGGGCCTTGACAAACTCTTCGGGCCAAGCAGACTGGACCCCTGGGACAGCAGGCAATTGATATGACCCTGGGACCTCTCCGCATTCTTCGGACGAGCACCTGGGGAGCCCAGGAGATTCGGACAAGTCTTCCCCATTCCTTGCCCTGTCCCGTTCTGTTCGCCCGAAGGCCTCCACAGACCCTCTGGGCGAACAGAATGGGACATGGCGACCAAACCCTCCCGTTGGCGGTGATGCGACTGGATCGCACCATCGAGGCGCGCCCGGAGGTGATGGCCGACCCAACAGCGGTTTCTCTAAAGATTTTACAGAATTTCAAATTTTCTTGAAGCTCTCTTGGGCCCTCCCTGCAGACCCTTGCGAGACTCCCCGGCGCTTTCCGTGGCTTTCCCCGATGGCCTCCCGAGCCCTTCCCCGAGCGCTCCTGAGACGCCTCAGATGGGCTTCGACTTCGACGCACATCCCCGAGAGACTTCGAAACTGTCCTCAATAGGAGGGGTGTGAACGAGCAGTGCGCTGGGCCAAGCTGCTGGAGCGCTGCAAGAGCTCGGACACGAAGGCGCGGTCTCGCTGCCGCCGCCCGAGCCGCCGCCGTGTTTGTAGATTTTCGGTAGAATCTGCGCCGTTCCTCCGAGAACCATTCCAGAGAGATGTCGTGGACGTAGTCCACGGGTCAGCCCTAGTCTCTACTACATTGCAGGGCCCAGTGCGTGCCAGAATGGCGCAGGCCCCAATGCACCGAAACCGCCCCGGGCTGGCCCCGGGCCGCCCCGGGCCGCCCAGGCAGGCTCCAGGACATGTCGAGAGGGCCCCCAGAAGCCCCCAAGACGGCCCCGGAGAGCCCCGGCACGCTTAAAGATGGGCCCGAGACGCCTGAGATTCGCCCCAGACGGCCCAAGAGGCGTCCAAGACGCCCGAAGAGGCCTCCCAAGAGGCCTCCCAAGAGGGCCCCGAGCGACAGAAATCGTCGATTTCTATTGTGTTTTTCGATGTTTTCGGCCTCCTCGCCTCTTCGGCTTCCCGACGCTCCAAGACGGCCCAAGAAGTCCCCCCGACCGCTCCAAGACGGCCGAAGAGGACCCCAAGAGAGCCCCAAGACGGGCCAGGAGGGCCCCAAGACGGTCCCAAGACGCCCCAGGACGGCCCCAGGACGGCCCAGGAGGCGCCCAAGACGGCCCAAGAGGCACCCAAGACGGCCCCAGGAGCGGCCCAAGACGGCCCAAGACAGCCCAAGAGGCGCCGAGGCGGGCCTCAGACGGCCCCAAGACGGCCCAAGAGGCACCCAAGACGGCCCGAGAGGGCCCTAAGAGCCCCCCCGGGAGGCCCAAAAGAAGGCCGAAGAGGCTCCGAAACGGCCCCCACGAAGCCTTCAGTGGCTTCAGAATTCCCTCCAGGAGCGGGGGAGCGGACGAGAGGCGACAGGCATATCGCAGGCAAAAGCGCCCCAAGAGATCCCCAAACGGCCCCCACGAAGCCCTGTGTGGCCTCAGAATTGCTTCCAAGAGGGGGGGAGCGGACGAGAGGCGACCGGCATATCGAAGGCATCATGATTGCCTTTCGGCCCTGCAGCCGCACACCCCCGCGCTTGCCCAGAGACCCCTCGCCACGTCGAGCTGATTTCGTGGACGGAGTCCACAGGTCTGCCCTAGTAAGCTACAACGCTGGGATCAGCGCGTGCGGGAAGGGCGAGCAGTGGCGACGGGCGCTTGCGCTGCTGAGCGAGATGCGGGAGGCGAAGCTGGAGCCCAACGTCATCTGTACTACAATTCCGGGCGAAGCGCTTGCGAAAAGGTCAAGCAGTGGCAGCGCCCCGGGCCGCCCAGAGAGCTCGCGGGCCGCCCAGAGAGCCTCGGGCCGCCCCCGGACCGCTCGCGGACTGATACAGGATTCCCAGATCGCTCCATGACGGCCTCAGGAGGTCCCGAAGACGGTCCAAGACGGTCCAAGAGTGTATCCGAGACGCTTAAGATGGCTTCAAGACGCCTTCAAGACGGCCCGAGACGCCTCCACGAGGCCCCCATAGTGCTCGAAGTGCACCTCCAAAGAGGGGCCGCAGAAGCCAAAATCGTTTATTTTCTTTGTTTTTGTTCATGTGTCTGGCCTTCTCGCTTTTTCGGCTGTCCGACGCTCCACGGCCGCCCAAGAGGCCCCCAAGACCGTTCCAAGACGGCCCAAGAGGCCTTCAAGACGGCCCCAAAACGGCCCAAGAAGGCCCCAAGACGGCCCAAGAGTCGCCCAAGACGGCCCAAGAGGGCCCCAAGAAGGCCCCAAGAGAGGCCCAAGACAGGGACCCGGAACCGAAAAATCGATGTCTCCACCCCAAGAGGCCCCAAGGAAACGCCGGGACGCTCCCAAGACATCCCCAGGAGGCCCCAGGACGCCCCACAGAGGCTCCAAGAGGCCCCCCAGAGGCCGCCAAGCGCCCCAAAAGGCCCCCAAGAGGCCCCAAAAGAGAACCCAAGAGGCCCCAAGACGCCCCCAAACTGCTACCAAGAAGCCCCCAGACTGTCTCCTAGAGGCTCCCGAGAGGCCAACCACGAGATCCCAACCAACATCCACGAGGTCTCTTACCCATTACCCAGGCCCGCGGCGAGATTGCCCGCAGGCCACTACAGCCGGTTCGGGGGCCCCACGTATACCAGCACCCGCGCCCTTGGCTGTATCGATGCAGGGCCCCGGGGGGGCCGACACCTCGGGAAACTCAGATCGTCTTGGGCGGTGTCCAAGGCCTTGGGGTACGTGTGGGGGCCAATCCTGGCGCAGTGGAATGGCCAGAACCTTCGGATTTTCGCTAATCGCGGAGAGGCCGGGCGCGATTAGCGAAAACCTGACGTTTTTCGAGACCTCCACGCCCAGCTTTAATCGGTTACGATAGCCCTCTTGGGCCCTTCGGGCGCCTCGTGGGGCGGCTTGGGTCAATCTTGGGGGGGTGAGGCCGTCTCGGACCTCGCGTTGGGCTCCCGTGGGCGGCATCTGCGGCTGTGCTGGGCCCTGCTGGGGGTCACTTGAGGCTTCGGCGACACGTGCGAGTTCGGGACCAACGCCTGGACCTGCGGGTCGTGGATTTACCACGGGTTTCACACTAGTCAGCTACAGCACTGGGATCAGCGCGTGCGGAACGGGTGAGCAGTGGCAGCGGGCTTTGGCGCTGCTCGGCGAGATGCGGAAGGAGAAGCTGGAACCCGACGTGATCTGTACTACATTTCTGGTCGCTGCACGTGCGAAAGAGGCGAAGAGGTCACGATCTGCTGCCCCCGAGCGCCCGAAGCGCCCTGGTGCTCTCCGAATCTCCTGACTGGCCCCAAGACGGCCTGTGACAGCCCCAGGAGAGCTCTGAGACGCTCTGGAGCGCACAGGACGGCCCAAGAAAACCCGAACGGAGCCCCATGACAGCCCACGAAGTAAACCGTTGAACCAGAAATCGGAGAGGAAAAAGTACCCATACCGCTACCCCTCCCTCGTTTTCCCCTTTTTGGCCCTCCTGGGAGGCCCTCGTCGCCACCGCTAGATTCGCCTCGAAATTCTAGGCAAAAGGCACCACGGAAGAGGTCCAGGGAGTAGACAACCCGACGACGAGCCAGGTGCCTCCGAAAACGGCCAGACCGGACCCCGATGACGGTCCCCCGAGGCCAAAGTCATATATATACATATAAACCACATAGACCACCCTTCGATCAATCTCACAATCGATCTGGCTATCGAGCTCACACTCGATCTCACTAACGATCTCACTGTCGATATCACAATCGATATCACAATAGATCTCACAATCGATCTGGCTATCGATCTCACGATCGATCTCACATTCGGTTTCACGATCGATCTCAATACCGATATCACTATCGATCTCATTCGATCGATCTCACAATCGATCGCACAATCGATCTCACATTCGGTCTCACTATCGATCTCACTATCGATATCACAATCGATCTCACAATCGATCTCACAATCGATCTGACTATCGATCTCACTATCGAACTCACTATCGAAGTCATGATCGACCTCTCGTTCGATCTCACTATCGATCTCACTATCGATATCACAATCAACATCACAATCGATCTCACATTCGGTCTCACTATCGATCTCACTATCGAACTCACTATCGATTTCACTATCGATCGCACATTGGGTCTCACTATCGACCTCACTATCGATATCACAACCGATTTCACAATCGATCTCACATTCGGTCTCACTACCGAACTCACCATCATCACCACCATCATCATCACCATCATCATCATCGTTGTCAACATCAGCATCATCATCATCATCGTCATCATCCTCATCATCATCATCATCACCGACGGGACACCGACGGGACACCGGCGGGACACCGCGGGGCCCCGGCCGCCCGGATGGGAGACATTTGGTCCGGCCGCGCCTCAGCCACAGGAGACTTTCTTTTCGGCCGCCCACGCAGCTTCGCCTCGCCCGCACGCACGGCACGCACGAACACGAAACCGAAATCGATTTCCCGGTAGGGGGGCTCTCCGTTCCACTTCGATCTCACCCCTCACTTCCGATATAATATATATATATATATATATATATATATATGTCCTCTTTTCAAAGTAGAAGCAATAGCCAGCTGACGAGTGTGCCGTAATTCGGTTTCTGGTTCAAGCTCTTTCCCCCCAGTGCCCGTCCTGGGCGGGGTTTAGGCGCTCTTCGAGGGGGCCGCTAATTCTCTGATCACTTCCTCTTCAGCGGCCGTCCTCTCCTGGGCCAACCGTGTCCCGTGCCCTGATTGCCGGCCTGTGGTCAATTGTGATTGCTCGAGCTGCCCCACCGTCAGCTGCGGCGACGTGATCAAGCAGGAGGCGAACGGCGCACCCTGGCTGGGCTCGCTGCTCTGGGGCATCCTCTTCGTCAGCGTCGGCATCACGATCGGACGGATACCCCTTGCGTGGGCCTCCACGGCCCGAAGCGCGCCTCACCCCGCCCGAGTGGTGACTACGAAGGCGATTAAGGTGGAGCCGATCGCGAAGCAGGCCCGGCTGCAGCTGGAGGCTCTGGCGCTGAAGCGGCGGGTAAGCTCTCGCTCTGAGGGGCAGTGATGGCGGGTGCCATGCCCGGCCCAGGAGTGTACACTATTCCGACTCCATACAGCGACGACTACGACGAAGACACCGCCGTGGCGGCCGACATCACTGGGGCGGTGCAGCTGCCCAGGGCATGCAGGGTGGCGGGCCGCCGCTGGCCGGCGGCGCGGTCGTCCTGGCCCCAGTCTCCTGCTTTCGCGCTCCGCCGCTGCCGGCCCGGCTGGGTGGTGCGAGGGCCGCGGGAGCCGCGCGGCTGGGCTTCGCCCTGCCGGCCGAGCCCCTTTCGCTGAGCGTGGTTGGGCGGCCGCTCGCGGTGGGGGCCGGCAGGCCCGTGCAGGCTGGTGGCCTCGACGAGGTTGGCGTCTTCGTTGTCAGGTACGACGTCCCGGGACCTGCTCGGTGGCACGAGAGGGTCGTCGTCCCCGAGCCGTGTACGCCGCCCGGGGGCGCGGCGGCGCCCGACGGAGAAGGCCTGGCCGCCCTGGCCGCCACCCTGGGGGGGCCTGCTGCCGCTGGCGTCCCAGCGGGCGCTCGGGCGCCCCCGGCGGCCGCGGGCCCACCCGTGCCGGCCGCAGCGGCCGCACCTGCTGGAGCCCCGGTGGGCAGCGCCGCAGCTGTCGCTACCGCCCTTGGCCCCGCCGGGGGGGCTGCTGATGCAGGAGCGGCGGCAGGAGCAGATCGGGCGGCCGCGCCCCCCTTGGCGGCCCCAGGAGGAGGCCCCCCGTTGGCGGCGGGCGCGGCGCCAGGCGGCGGTGGCGTGGCTGGAGCCCCCGTCTACGACTTGCGGGTGCAGGCCATCGGGGTCGATTCTCAGGGTGTGCGATGTCGCGTGTTCAGGGCTGCCGTTACCATTCTCACGGTCACGCTGTTTGCGGATTGGCCCGTGCGAGGGCCGCGCATTCTCTCCTGGGTCAGCAAGTTCATCGTGGCCAGCGACGGGTCGCCTGTGGCAAGGCACAACCGCTTGATGGCGGAGGCCCGCCTCAACGGCTCTGAGCCTGGGGTGGAGGATCACCTCCGCGTGCGCAGGGCCGTGGAGACGGCTGCCTGCTATGGCCAGCTGAACATCACGGAGATCGCGTCCTTCGAGTGGTTGGGGCGTTCTCGTCAGGTGCAGGAAGAGCGCCACAGGGTTCGCATCATCGGGTCTGAGGACATAGTTGATTCGCACCTCTTTTTGGGTTCGGACCTCGCCAGAGACAACGCGCGCGTGGCCCCACAGCCAGGAGCTCGTCAAGGAGGTCTCGGCGGTGAAAGAAAGACGAGGGGCTCGGGAAGAGCGCATTGCCAACCGCCAGCCCCGCAACACCAAGAAGACGGGGGACAAAGAGCAGGGGTGAATGCCCCCGCCGACGCCCGGACAAGGGCACCGGTGTGCGGCGACCAGGCGTATGAGCCCTCTCCGACCGGGGCGCCACGGTCGGGTACGACACCTGATGGCGCTGCCTCTGTTCGTGCCAGAGACATTTTTCCCCTTCCTCTTCTCCCCTCTCCCAGTGGGCCTGGCCGCGGTGCCTCTGACGTGAGTGGGGGCGTCATCCGACGCCGCCGCAAGGTTAAGCACTCTGTCGACTGGGCCAACGACGCCATCTCCTCCCTCAACAGTGCTTACGGCTTTGGGCCGGCCCGCCGTTCTGCGAACCCGACCTCTTGCCAGAGGAACGTCCTCGATCGCGTAGGTAAGCAGTTTCGGGAGGCCGGCCCCCAGCCAGCTGACCTCCTTTCTGGCGCGGGAGCCCTGAGTGAGCTCTGCGCCGCTAGTGGTCTGTACGACTCCGCGGGGACCACTAGGCGACCGTTTTCCCAGGAGCTTGTTTCCTGGCCAGATGAGGGGACCTGCCCGGCTCCGCTGGGCGATCTCCTCAGCGCTGGCGATTGTGAATGGATCGGTCGTGCCCACGAGAACCTGCTAAGGCCCTCTGAGGAGGCTCGAAGTTTGATTCGAGAAGCTAGTCCGCTGGGGCCGTATGTGGATCTGCTTCTCAGCTCGTCTCCTGCTCGGTACGCTGCGTTCGTTCGTAAGCTGGTCGACCGGGGGATGGCCACTTTGAAGCTCGCCACGGGCCGCCCCGGCAAGGTTGGTGTTTTCTTCGTAGCGAAAAAGTCGGGTAAGCTCAGGCTTATTTTCGATACCCGTGTTGCCAATTGTTTTTTCAAGACCCCATCCTGCCACCCGTCTTCCCACCGCAACGGCCCTCGGATCTGTTGAGCCCCTGGGGTCCGACGTTTTTGTAGGACCAGGTGACATTGACAACTGCTTTTATCGCATGGGCCTGCCGGCAGAGCTTCAGGATTTGTTTGCCCCCCCCCCCCATCGATGCCGGAGTTGCTGGGCTTACAGAGGTTGAAGGACACTAGGTGGGGCCAGGGACCGCACTCGAACCCGTGCTCACAATCCTTCCCATGGGGTGGAGTTGGGCTATGCACATCGCCCAGTCCGTGCTGCTGAATGCCCTGGGCGACGCCGGCATCGATGGGTCGAACCTTGTCGTGGACGGCAACCCGGCCTCCCCGATCGACGATTTCACGAGTGTGCGAGTCGCAGGCTACGTCGACAACTTCGTTGTCCTCGGCCAGAGCCCCGACGCCGTGGACTCGACCGTGTCCCGACTTCGCTCCACCCTCGAAGCCAGGGGCCTCGTCGTCCACGAGCTGGAGCCCGCCTCGAAAGACGCGTCCTTCCTGGGGTTGGAGCTTAATTCGGGCCAGAGGCTCTCTATCCGTCGACGAGGTCTTTGGAGACTTCGGCCGGCCTTAGAAGAGTTCCTCCGGCGCGGGCGCGCCAGCGGATCTCTTCTGCAGGTGGTGGTCGGACATATTATTTGGGCTGCGCTACTTCGGAGGGAGGCTCTCAGTTTTTTAGATGACGCCTATGCCTATATCGAGAAAAACAAAGGTGACGTTGTCGACCTCTGGCCTGGCGTTCGCAAAGAGCTTTGGAGATTACGATGTGTCCTCCCGCTCTTTACAGTTGAGTGGGGGGCCGAGTGGCGCGACCAGGTGCACGCCTCAGATGCTTCCCCATTTGGCATTGGGGCCTCTGTCAGGCGCGTCTGTCCTCGCGATGCTGGCGCGGTTGGGAGATTGTGCGAGCGGTGGAGATACAAAGTCGAAGAGCATTGTCGCCCCCGGGAGGCTGCCCT